ACGGCGGAGCAGCTCAGACTTGAGCTTATCAAAGGCCTATGAAAAAGAAGCTCAATAAGAAAATAAAAAAGTGCAAAACTAAAAAGCCAAAATAGTCGATCAAAACTCACTACAGAACTGAGCCTCTAAGCCTCCTCAAAGGTTGAGAGCACATCTACTGGCCTGGTCTCATCGACCCCAGTAGAACCACTCCCAATGGGAATATGATCACTCGACACCCCGCCTGGCTCAGGCGGCCCCTGGCCTCGAACATCCTTCGAAGTACCTTCGACAGGAGATGAAGACAACGGCAGAGGGGGACCATTTTTTCGGGGTTGAAAGCCCCAGGTGCTGTAGGCTCGGCCGATATATCTTCTTTAAGCCTCCGGGCAGGGCTGGCCTCGCTATGAGCACCTTCGTCCTTCGAAGGTCTTTTCCGTTTGTTACTATTCCTTGGCCCCAAAATCGATGATCCTTCCTCCTCTCCGAGAGGGCATGATCTCATCTCAGGGAATTCTCCAATGCCTGCAGTAACAGAGTTAACACACGAAAAAGAAAATACCTTACAAAGGGAATGAACCGCACAACGCATACCGTGGCGTTTTGCCTCCCATCTATCCTTCGACAGGCCTCGCCACTTACGCCCATCGTAGGTCGCGCGAGCTGCCAGCTTCAGGGTCCAATCCGCCAGGTCTGGGATCTCGTATGGCATCCACGGGATTGCTGTAAAAAAGAAAGGAAAACATCTTTACGGAGCCCGCCTCCACCATGAACAAAATGATAAAAGCGCGAGTGTACCACTTACGCGTAAAATTCCATTTCTCAGGAAATGGCAGGAACTCCACAGGGATAATATCAACAGTCCTTACTCGGACGAATCGATTCATCCACCCTTGGTCCCCATCTTCTTCATCATCGACAACAAAGGGCCTGACGGATCGGCATCGCAAAGCTGTAAGGCCTCGGCAATGAAAGGGTCGGTAAAATTTGATGAGTCGGCTAAGGGTGAACTCGAGCCCGGCTTCCTCCGCAAAGAACCTCATCATCAGCACTGTCCTCTAGAACGACGGGTGAACCTGTGCCAGGGTAGCCCGATATCTTCGACAGAAGTCAAGCACAACTCTATCGAGAGGGCCCAGCGTGAAGAGGTACGTGTATACGTGTAAAAAACCCTCTGTACGAGCCGTGATGTTCTTTTCCGTGGAAGGTACCTGGAGTACCACCTTTTCTCCCCATCCGCAATCTCTCCCCACTACCTCGAGGCATTCCTCTCCTATTGATGAAGTGAACCTCGATGCATGATCCCAATGGTCCTCGACGTGGGGAGGTCTCTCCAACGAAAGGTCCCCCCTCGAGACAAAGCATCTCGAGGCTGGCTCACCAGACGCCGGCGGTGTACCACCGATTGAGCGGGAAGAAGAGACGGAACCCTCCTTTTCGTGGTGAACGGATTTGGGCATAGCAGCCATGACCACGATAAAACAAGAGAAGGAAAATGGAAACTCGGGCGAAAACTTTGAAATAAAACGGTGAAAAAGCTGAAGTGAGGAAGAAGAATTCTATGAAAAGGGATAACTGCTCAAAATAGCGGAATCCTCAGAAAAGAGGGAAATAAACTCATATATAAAGCAGGTGGCGACTGTCCGCCTACCCTAAAGGCCAATTAATTCCAACTAGGTCGTTATCGCCTTTGGGGAGATGGCCAGCAGGGTCACTTCGAACATTTCATGACCATGTCATACGATTGGCGATACCGCCCAACGTTCGAGGGATCAAAGACCCCCATATCAACCTGATCTCGAGATGGTACCTGGTCTCGAAGGATTTCGTTGCCACAACAATGGACTCTAAGAAGCTACCCGCTTTAACCAAGCCTCGAGATGGTGTCCGATCTCGAGGACCTTTCTAGGTCCGAGTCGGTGTTCACTGAAAGGTTATCAATAAAGCCTCTGGGCTATTTATGCCTCCGGGGCTATTTAAACACTCCCTCGGTTATTTTGGCCCATGGGCCATCCTAGTTCGAACGTATCCTCATTCAGGGTCTATCTATAACGCCTTAGGGCTAGCTTCATTTTAAGTTCAAAGCAAGTTTGCAAGGCCGCCCGAGTTCAGAAAACTTCTCACTCGGGGACTGTGCGAAAAGGCCCGAGGACTATCTTTATTGTCGAGTTATCAGGCAAATTCGCCCCTCGAAGACTATCAACAAGGCCTATGCGGGCTAAGTTTTGTCTTAAATCCGAGGCCCCACCCTCGCTCAATTCGAAGTCGCCAGTTTCGGCGGCCCAAGTTTGCATCGAGTCAATCCGGACTTGGTCCGAGGAACGGCAAAGGATTTCAGGGAATATCATATTTACCAATCAAGAACCAAGGAAATTCTTACGCCCAGGCTCGATATTCGGACCGATCAATAGAGTCACATGCTCAGATTCTTTACGAACGCAGGCAAAGGGAAATCTAGCACAAATCAAAGACAAAATGAAGAAACATTTTTCATTAACAAACGATGATTACAAAAGCCCACGAAGGGTCCTTACACAGAAACAAAGAAGCAAAAAATAACAGCTAAAGTCTAATCCACTCTCGGAGGTACATCCTCGGAAGCAATATCTACGAGAACCATTCGTTCGGGGACCCTATTTCAATCTTCCAACCGACGTCTTCGAGAACCTCCTTCGAAGCAGAAAAAGATGAAGAAGAAGAAGAAAAAGATAAAGAAGAGGCCGTAGCCCGCCACCGAGCAAAAGCTCTTAACAGGCCGGGAAAATTGTGGATTGGTGAAAAATTTGGCTAGTATGGATCTCGCCATCACTACTATTGTGAAGCCACTTCTTGAGACGTTGCACCGGTGTGGGATGCAACAGTTAGTAGATGAGGCCACTTCACTCCGAAGAAAGCAAAGGGAGTGAAGTGCCACACCAAGTTGAAGTTAAGAGAGATGAGCAGCAGTTCAGGGACCACATATCCTCTGATGTGGGAACAATTTGAAGCCCCTCTCATCGTTTCGGGCCAACAACAGCAACAACAACAACAAACCAGTACGATCCCACTCAGTGGGGAAGAGCTCTGAAAGGGAGCCATGGCATAACTGGCAAAAACCGCTGTCGTGTGGCCTTACGGTCACGGGCTCGAACCATGAAAAGTAAAGTTTGGATGAGGAAGAAGAGAAGAAAGGAGTTGAAAGCTATTGAAGAATAACTGGATGGAGTTTGATTCAGGAAACCTCCCATTTATAGAAGGGCAGTAGCATAACCAACGGCGCAATCAATGCCTTTGGGAAATGTACCGCTAGGCGCAATCAATGCTCTTTGGGAAACGAATCGGCGGCGATATGACCGCCTTTGGGGAGAATAAACCGGCAGTGCAATGAATGCCTCTGAAGATGGATTGACAGGATGTTTCCAGTCGCTTGGAGCACTGACGTCACAAGCGTGACGACATCACAAGATGTTCAAGAAAGTCAAGAGTCGGGACCGTTTCTTATCATTTTCATTCTAAGAAACGCGGGGACTATCTGTATACGGCAAAAAATCAGAAGGCCCGATTTTATGGCCGATGTAGCGCTTCGCAAGCGCGTCTCCAAAGGCTCGAGGCATGGCTCGAGGTTCGACCCCGAAGGTTTCTAGCGTTCGACCTCGAGGCAGTGCAAATCGTTGATTACCATGAAAGAGCGGGAAGTTCCCAAGGCATATGATCAAAGCGGACAAAACCTACAAGAGAAGTACTAGTCTGTACCAAACTAGCGAATAGCTATACCAGCTATATGTCTTTGTAATAAATGCATCTGCACCATGTTGGGATTTCCCCTCATATATAAAGGGGATCCTTGTCATTTTGTAAGAGGAGGATACACAACATACAACATTCAATACAAGAACATTCTCTGCTCTCTAACTTAAAGACATTCTCTCCTTTTGTTCTATTACTCACATTTATTGCTAACATTTACTGTGTTCTAGTAATTGTTCTTCATTTATTGCTTATTATTGATCATAAAGAGCCTTCATCAAAGCTCTCAAAGCTATTAGCCCTTCATCGGCTGTTCACAGCTTAGTGTCTGGCTCGACCTCGAGGCCCCGTATAGGCCAGCTCGAGGCCCCGATTCTCTGTCATTCGGTTTGCTCAAACATACTGCCTTCAAAGTTTTTACCTTATTTTCTAGTCTCGCACTTAGCATCTACTGCTTAACAACTAGCATAAAAACAGATCACGTATTTTTAGAACCACAAAATCAAATCTAATTGTTATTACCATTTTCAAGGTAAACATTTACCTAATGAATTCATGTTCAGCCCATACTGGTTATCCCAGTGCTTGGATCAAATGGACAACTAGTAACCTAATGCTAGGCGTTAGCAGCATAACTGGAGAACTAGATTGATCAGTGATACACTGAAACAACAATACATTTTCCACATGGCAATGTCTTATTTGGGTTGCAAGTCCCGTGATATGTCATCCTTGTTGTTTTTGATATACCAACCTTTTCACCTTTAGATCAACCGACTTAAAATTACTTTAAGTGCCGTATATGCTCTACGGCATAGGCAGACAACTAGAGCGGGTGGGGGAACCACTGATTACAGTGTTTGTTTAGTTCAAATATACATGCTACTATAACACTCAGCCAGCAAACTGGGAGGGAGAGATCAACAATGCTCCTCATCTTATATCAACATAATAGACAAGGGTTACAAAGACGACCGTACCATGATCGATTAGTGGGAGCAAATAAATATCAATAATATAAAGAACTCAGTAGTGTCGTCAATCAATAGCTGCATAATGCAGATGGTATACAAACACGATAGGAAATGACATCTCAATTCTATATCAGGTGACAATATTTGATCTTAGTTGGTGGGCATAGAGTCACATGACACTATAGACGGCTCACCCAAAAGAAAAACCACCACTCTATACCTAGGATTCACAAGTAAATGTACACTACAAGTTCAAGTGACTAGATGTCATTCAGTTAAAAGCAAAAAGAGCCGAAAAGAAAGATTCAGCAAATATGATACCTTGAAGGCCCAATAGACCCATACAAGTGCTTCAATGTGAAATCATCCACTGCGCTACCAAAGTCAATAATACGCCTGAAAATTGGTCAGGCTACTCAGAATAGGCAAGAAAAACGTTAACTATTATCCATCTACCAAACTATTAACTCATAATATCCGAGTCAGTGTGAGTCAATGTCCAATATGGGACAAATATTTTATTGAGTAATGACTAAACTTTAGTTAGAGGCTGGGAATATTCGTATTTCCTCTTCCCTTTTGATGACTCAAAAAATACAACTTTAACCTTTAATCAAGGTAGAGAAACATCCTTTCCAATCCAAAAAGACAAGCTAAAGAGAATCCTCTTCTTTTTTTTTCTTCTTCTTAGCCCATTCTGTCCTCTCCCTTCCCAAATTCCATCATCTTCACCCTGGCCTCTTTTTCCTTCTTTTTCTTGCCAGACCTCCCATTCTGAAGAAACAAGTACTTGATACACACAATGATTAACTTTCACTGAGACTAGAGAAGTTTCTTGAATCAAGGGAAATCTCTGAATTAGTGGAATAAGAAATTCCTGAATGCAGGAAACAAGAGTAGATTGTGTGCATACACTTCTCCACCATTACAAGGAAACAAGATACTTTTATGTACAATCAACTGTCATTAAGACCAAAAAAAATTCAGAAAGGAGATATTAGAAGTGATGTGTTCCTGTGCTAGAACTATAAGAGCCATTTTAGGAAAGTTAAGTTCTTAGGTTGAGTATCATCCCACATCGATAAATATCATACGTGTTGTGTTGACACCTATAAAATAGAACATCTTGTATTCAGTAAATCATCAAATCATCAATAAATATCTTCTATTTATCTATTTTCTCACAGGAGCAAATATTTATGTCAGAGAATTAAGAAACTCCTGGAAGGAGGAAATAAGACCACGTTGTCTTCATGGAAATTAGTTTCTCAACCATTCCGAGGAAACAAGGCACTTACGAAGAGAGACTGTCACTGAGACTAAATCAGTGAACTTAAATTCCTGGAAGTAGGAAAAAGAGTACATTTTCAGCACATAAATTATTTTCCCAGACACTTGATGACGTATCACGAATTGGGAACCCAAAGGACGCAAATAAGAAAGCTACTTTGCTGCAACAGGGTTTCAACTGAAACATGAGGTCATGTATTTGAGATTTCACTCAAGAATCTACAATAAACATCCAGCAGTATTAGAAGTTGACTATAACGTAGAAGACAACTCAACACAAAAGATGTGGAAGAAATAGATAAGTTGACGTACATCTTAGTTATATAATTCTCATCTTCATTTGGATGCCCTTTCAAGCACCTCCCAGAATCTTGATCCTCAAAGCAAACGACCATATTCTCTTGCATAAGACAATCAGAAAGCATACTAGTATAAAATTCCATCCTATATATAAAAGACTCTTTGATATGTCATAGAAAACTTAAAGTGGAAAGCCTAAGTCCTAGAACAATCAAAGAATTGACAACTGTACTTCACATGCATATAGACAGTGGATACTTTAAACAAAGCTAAGAAATTACATAAACCAGATTCCTAAATAAGCTGAGAAAGAAAGAGCGAGATCAGCAATGTGTATAAGCATGAATTTCATGGATGTTTAATTTAGCATCAGTGAGAAAGTGAGACTCAAAACCTGGGATCTCCAGGTTATTACTCCTATGTCTCAACCACCCAGCCACCCAGTCAGGAATCAAAGCTCAAATGTAACTTAAGAACCATAGAAAGATAAACAGAGGAAATAGTACTGTTCTTCAATTCAATTTGGTTAGAATAATCAAGAGCATATATTGATTTTGTTTCTGGTACTCCTTTATCTTCACTCTTTGTTTGAGTTACATTGAATGATGTTCCAAAAGTTCATTAGTTTTGAAGCAACATCATCCTGTTCCAACAATAACATATCTTCTAATATCCGTAGCTGTTGATCTCATCAGTTATATTGCACAAAGTTTAGATAAGAAAGGCCAGCAGAAAAACAACTCCTGTAGTGCATTATAGTCCATGTCGGTTAAGTGTATGAGATGTAATCTTCTTATATGGCCTTGTATTTTCATCAATTGAGCTAACTTTTGGGATTGAGTTAGATGTAAGGTCTGTTTTCAAAACATAGTTTTGAAGCAGACAGAGGTCTTTGGTTCAAGTCTAACCGTCACCTTTTATTAAATAAAAAATTTCACGTGCTTGACCCATGAAAAAAAATTCATTCTTGCACGTGAGATGTGTCGAAGTCATAATTAAGTAAATAAAGGTGTGTCTTCATTTATCAAGTAAATAGAGGTGTTTCAAACCTTGCTTTCTACACTTTTCCTTATCAAAAAAAGGTGTGCCCTATTTAACAGCTTAATCTTTTAGATGAGATGGTCACACAAATCAACATGATTTCAGAACCAGACCTACCCCTGGTGTTGGACTACCCAACAATGGGGCACCCGTTACTCCACGCTTCCAGATTTCCAAGCCTTAACGTGCAGCGTGGCATTAAATGCCACACTGGTTAAGTGTGTGTGTCGTAGTCTCCCTATATAGTTTTGAAAATCTTCACCACTTGAGCTAGCTTTTGGAGTTAAGTTAGGCTCAACATACATTTTCTTAGCAGATATTATACTTATAGGGATACATGATGTGAAGTGATACCAAGCCTTGTCATTTGGTAAAATCTTTGTTTCGGACCACTCTGAAGCTGAGAAGGGTTTTCTCCCCGAAACGAATCAGTTTATCCTCTCTTTTTCCTTATTTTGTTACTCGACCTAAAACCTCCGAAAATATGGCTGAGGTTGATTGAAGATGATGTTAAGCAGCATGCAGAACCAGTGCTAAAGTGATTACATTGTGAAGCATTCAGAATTTCATTGTGGCCTTAGCTATGTGTAACATCAGATAAGTAGCCTTTACCACTATCCAAATAAAAAATCAGCTGTTATAATTATAAGTTTATAACTCTAGCGCGTATTTTCCGATCCTTTTTGATATTTTTGTACAAAGCTTTTTCAATTCTTAACGGGCAAAACGCAGCTGAAGTTTTGGACATATTCTGGTGACACATAACCCACAGGTATTTCAACCATCAACTGATGTGTAACAGAGCAGAAGTAAGACCCCTTTCCACAGTAAACTGTGAGTACTACACATAGGACTCTTGGCATGCAGCCTCTTGGTCTATTCAGGACAGTCCAAGTAAACAGCTTAGATAACAGATAGCTACCACAAAGACAAAAGTGACAATATCTTTTAACTTTTGGAGAGAAATTAACTATACAAAATTACAGAAGTGCATGTAATGAAAAACTCTTACCAGGTTTTATATCTCTATGGGTGATATTACGATCATGACAAGATTTAAGTGCCATCAACTGCATAGAACAGAAATATTGAAATGAATAGCTTCATGAGGAAATGGAAGATCATTCATCAGGATGGAATAAGATACTTGGAGGAGCCTTTCAAATAAGAAAATAGTTATGGTGCAAGCAAAGTAATCAAAAACATGATATTCCGATTATTAGTAGTAGTTACTTTCATATGCCGCAAGGCAAAACCCCAGCTTTCATTACTACATGACTAATTCCAGATGATTAAACCTGCAGAAGATGACATTTGGAAACAAGAACATTCTAAGTCATTAGACTGGCGATGTGGCAATCAACCGAACAATGTTTTGCAAGAATGTTTAGCACTTTAGATTAAACTTGCAGATGATAGTGGAAATAAGAACATTTTGGCCCGTTATGACAGACAATGTGGCAATCAACAGAAAAAATGTTTTTGCAAGCATGTCTGGCACTTCTGTGGTTTGCAGCCACCTCAACATAGGAAATCCCAAAAATTTCCAGCACGCTCCTGACTATAATCATAAGGAACAGAAAAAGACTAACTATATACAGTAGAATATAGCACTATAGCTGCATATACCATCGTCTAGAAAATGTCAAATGGAAGATCTTATTAACAACTAAGCCAAAGTCAGGATGAAAAAAGCTACTAGAACATAAGGAACAACATTTCAACAACTATTTAATGCAGAGAGGAAAAAATGATAAAAAGAAGGATTGGAATAGCACATCAAGGAAATACCAGTTGCCAAATCAGATTACGCATTTCCTCTTGCCCTGCTTCTGTTGTTTTCAACCACTTCCACCATTTTGAAGGATGCAATATCTGAATATGCTTTATATTTTCATTTCCTTCCTCCGAATTATTTATCACTTCTTCAGCAGTATAGAGAAGCTTTGATAAGGATATCCCTTCATGGCGAAACACAAGCCATATATCATTGGATCGAGACTCAAAAGACTCGACATATCTGGCAATGTGATTAAGACCCTCCTCAGGAGCAGCTCTCAGCGTTTCCTTCTTTTTACCATATACTTTATCGAACTTCAAGGAGCCCTGGATCCCTAGATCCACTGCTGAATTTCTTTCCACAGGATCATGAAAATCTGGTCGTATATTTAACAAGAGGGACTTTGATTCTTCAGCTCGCAATGAACCTCCAAGAACAGTATAAGCATTCAAGAAAATTTCACCAAAATATTTCTCCCTTAGCCCACTTAAATAGACAGAGGTGCCTTTCTCCACCTGTTAGCAGTGGTTAGCCTTAATAAACAGAAATGCTTAGATAACAATACAGCAGAACAAAACACCAGTCTCATGCTAATCTAGGTGTACACTAACCAAAACAAAAGAAAATTTTCTTAAAATCAAGATGTACAGCTAGCCAGAAAAAACAAAAGGAAAACAACTTAAAAATCAAGGTGCAAGAAAGGCATAAGAAAAGAAGCCTAAAGGTCTGATAGAAAAGATCACCACATGCTATACACCATAGCAAGGTTCTGAGAAAATATTAGAGAAATTCGGAAACAGATGCTTAGATCGCAAAGTTGTTCAACATTAGTGGTGGTGCTTTTTTATGGATTTCCACTTCAAGGATTTCTCCCGTTGGACTTCAAGATTTGGAATATGAAAAGCATGTTGTTGCTAGAATCACGACGCCATATTTCTTCTAAAGAATCTGAGATGTGGATCATCCAAGGCACATTACCATGATGTAGTCCTGTTAGAACCGAGGTTTGAAACCAAGCTCCCACTCAGAAGGATAGATGGAGCAATTTGGTGAGATCCAATGTAATCCAACTTTCGATTTCACTTGTGGGATACAGTGAACTGTATCTTTTTGTGCTAGTTGACTTACGTCGCAAACTTATTGTTGGGTGGGACTTCACCTTTGAACCGGACCGGACAAGTTTTTGTCTCATACAGCAAAGGCCGAAGACCAGGGTAAGTTTAGAAGAGATGGAAAACCTAGCTCCTGCAAATTAGGACGCGGATAAGCTTGTAAATGCTGGACATAAGCCATGTATCTATTTTATTTATTCATTTATTTATTTCTTTTGCATGTTATCTATTTTATTTATTCACTTATTTATTTATTTTGCATGAAGGGACTTGCCGAGGAAGTTTATACCACAGGTTTGTCACTCATGGAGAGTTTGGGTTAGTATGTCGACTACATCAATCCCTATATAGCCTCAAATAATCTCAAGAGTATGGTTCGCCGATTTAGTTCTGTTGTCCAGCAATTTGGCATGCTTCAAAGTGAGGAAGATCATTCAGTATTGGCAATTCTATTTTCTTAATTGTTTATTTTAATGACATTGTTATAACATGTGAGAATTATGAAATTACCACTCAATATAGACATCTCATTTGTCAACTCCAGACCAAGAAGACTCATAGAAACTGAAATACGTCGAAGGCACCAAAGTTGCACAATCTAGAGTAGTACTATTGGTTCACATGTTGGTTTCCAAGGAAAACATAAATTGGATATGCCGAAAGAAACTGGTATGCTGCATTAATAAACTAATGATACCCTTATAGATCTAAATGCTAAACTTGTTCCTAGAAAAGGAAGCCTATATAAGACCCAGGTTAATATCACAGACCTACAGGCAAATCTAATTATCTTACGGCTATGCGATCCAATATCTCATTCTAGTTAGTGTGGTTAGTTAATTTCTCACCTTGTGAATGTCATTAGAATGCTGTAATCCGTATTTTAAAGTATACTAAGAGGTCTCCTGGACAAGAACTGTTATACCAGGACAGAGGACATGCATAGATTATTGGGTATTCTGATACAGACTATCTACCTTCGGATAGTGCAACTTGTTTGGAGATAATTGATTACTTGAAAAGGAAAGAAGCAATATATGTTGGCAAAATCAAGTGTGAAAGTTGAACACCAAGCCACAGCTCTAGCCACATATGAGCTTATATCATTAAAGCAGCTTCTTTAACTATTCTCTTAACCAAATCTTCCAAATCCAAACCCAAATACAAATTGTTTTCCGAAAACCAAAACCTACCAAATTTAGAGGTGTTTAACGGGCGGGCTAGGACGGGCTGAACAAAAAAAAAACCAACCCGTTCGTTAACGGACGTATTGGTTAGCGGGCTGGGGATAGCGGGCTGATAGCGGGTTGGGAATTTGCGGGTTTTTGTGGGCCCGTCCGGGTTCGGGCTTAACGGGCTCGATTGGGCTGTGCTAAATTTTTTTTTTTAATTAAATTTTGTTAGCAACGGTACACAAATTAAAAAAAATAAAAATTTAACCCATTAACGGGCTGAACCGGGCTGCAGCCCGTTAACAACCCGTTAACGGGTTAGCGGGCTTAGCGGGTTCCGGTGCACCGGTATCCAAAATGTGTTCGTCTAAACCCCGCTCCCCGTCCAACCCGTCCCAGCCGCCCTATATGCTACAGTGCAGGGCTGAATCGGGCTGAACCGGGCCGAACCGGGCTGAAAACGGGTCAGCCCGGCCCAATTAACAGGTATGGTCCGAATTAAACCTACTCTTTAATCCAAAAACCACCTAGGTAGATACAGCCCCAACAAACGGCTATTACTCATTTAAAATCTCAAACACACCTTGAGTTCTGTCCACTGAATCAACAATAGTGGCACATATGAACAACTCACACGCTGCTGTATTTCTCAATATTGTACGTTGCTTGCTTGTAGTTGTTCAGTCTGCTGCTCAAACATTCAAGTTAAAACATGATGTACTCAACAATTTTTCAATTTCACTCTGTGCAGTCTATTGTTTCATTGATGCATATCTTTATGTTACTTGTTTAAGTGATGCAAAATAAACCTTGGGAACCAATTCTAAGAAACGAAGAGCACTGCATATACCCCGGGGGATGGAGGAAACAAGAAAAACAAGCAAACAGGTTAAACACTCCTTGCAGACATTGTACCATGCTAGAGTATACAGCTTGAAATGATAAAACAGAACCAAGATTGAAACATTAACTAAGTTAAAACATTTGGTCTTGACTTCACAAAGACAATTTCCGCACAAAGACTATCATTTATCGAATCATCCATAAAGGATTGTTCTTGAACAAACGGGACAAAAGAGCTTGTGAAGGTCAGTTACCTGGAATGTTAAAGAAGGGAAGGGGAATACGAGGGAAAAATAAGTTCAAATGTGAATTTTGTTGTACCAAATCGACATGAATGTCACCTTTGATAAAGTTCTGATGCTATCAACCGTCATTAGGTAAAGGATAAAAGAGGTAACCAGCACGATACAGCAAAACCAATTCTAAGAAATATTCTGAAGATTCAATACCAGGATAGCAACATTACCATGATACGCTTCAAAATGAACATGCTTCCTTCAGAAGGGCCATCATCACAGACATCAGCAGATGATGAATCCTTCCTTCTTTCATTATTCGCCCCTCTATCCGTAATATTAGCTGAGAAATTGTTACTTTTTGAAGACTTGATGACATGAGAACAATTCCAGTAAAAAGCTAGCCAAACTTCACCATATGATCCACGATCATATTTCTTCTTTAGAATGTACCTAATGACATAAAATTAATTTGACATAAAAAGAAAGATACAGATCAAGCACTTATCATAAGGAACAAAAAACATACAGAAAAAAAGTAAAGACCTGCACGTACAGCTTAGGAAGAATAGTAGGATGAAAACACATTGGTCAACAAGCCATCAAGAAAAAAGACTGAAGCAGGTGATAAGGAAGCCATATGTTCCACAGGTGGAAATAGAAGAAGTATAATAAGAAAAACTCATGCAACTATTTTAGCATGTGAGAGAGTACAAGCATAAGTTTATTTCCAATCAATCCAAGTAAAATTCTCTGTGAAATCACATATATTATCATTTGAAGGTGATACATGAGCTAGTTACTGATCAAGCAAAACAGCAGTCGATCCACTTGAATAGAATATGCTAGTCATTCCAGGGTCCATTTTGTGTCATAAGGAGCAACACACGTAGTTTATCCTGCTAGCAGTCCATTTCAAACAGAGACTAATATATCTGCAGATCAGTTTATAAGGATTATTATATAGTGAATGCAACATGAACCAAAACGATTTGCTGAAAAGTACCTTGAATCTACTCTGGCATGATCATTTGTACTGCTATCATTGAACGGAATAGATTCAAGCAAACCAAGGAACCTAGCAAAGCCTTCAGGATTAATGCACTGGTCCTTGTTCTCACTAAAGTTCATCCCAAAATGAACACACATGTGCTGATCATTATATAAATCCAAAGCTCCACCTACATTAAACAAGGCAACTGGAAAATTAGTTGTTGTGGTGCATAAGCAGCTTTACTGATAGCAGACTTCACATGCAGTCTTCAGAAAAGTGAAGAGCCAAACTGCACTTAAAAGAAGAGGGGCTAAATGATGTGTAAATATCAAAAGAACAAAGCAGTTTTCATACAGATTCACACAGGAGAAACAACCACATGATGAAAGGGCAGGAACTTCACTGCTTACCTGGATTCTGACCAATGCTATCAGGTAAAGCATGAAGGAGCTCATGTTCATATTCATGGATGTCCTTCTGAACCCAGAATGTATACTCATCGTTAACATCGAGGCTCTCAGATAGATAGAAACATCCATAATTGCTGTGTTTTCCTTCAACCTGAGACGAGTAGAAGAATTCATGTAGCTGTAAGCATCCTTTTATATGAGCCAAGAAATGCTTGCAGATCACACATTTGTTTAATGCTACAGTGAATTATACATGAAAAATTGCCCCTACGGTCACAGCAGATCTCCTACCCATGCCCTTCCCCTGTTCTTTCACCTCATTGACAAAGATTTCACGCTCCGCACACCATTAAGTTGGACTATTGATTGCTGAATTAGCAGACCGCCCGGAAATCCCCACCCAGCCTCAACAAGCAAATTATAATGATATGTCATAAAAAAGAAGCGAATGCATCAAATCATACACAAGTATCCTCAGTTCCCAGCCCCAAGGTCAAAGAGGATGCATTAGTAAATAAAAAGATCAACCCAGTTATTTTCGGTCTTACCAATAATCTGCCAAAATTGGAAACAAGAGGATGACCATGCTCCTCCTCAGTAAGCACTGTTAATCATTAATGAAAATAAGATGAGCTAGGTCCAAGAACCACACTAGGAAATGATGATCTGAAGGATCATAATCTTGACAAGAAAAAGGAGGCCACTATATAAATGCATACACGACAATAAGAAATTGGAGTTCTAAAATACTATTCATCTCGTAAGAATTGTGCACCAAGGAAATCTACAATCATGTCAGGAATACACCTGATAAAGGGTGATTCCACAATATGAAATGACTAACTGAGTTTCAGTTAAGCAAAATTTGCAGCTCAAACTACAACATTAAAGAACATACTGCAATATAATATTTGTAAAGTCATTTTACTCCAAAGGATGGAGTTAATAATCAATGTTAAATCAACGGTGGAGCTCCTGCATTAAATAAAGGGCATGTCTGAGTATGATCCTTCAGAAACCAATACAACGGACATGAAGAGAGAAGACAGACCTCGAAATTCAGAAAATTATCAACTGCAGAATTAAATTTTGAAAATATAACCCAATGCATGAGTCCCGTTTTTCAAAACACACTGCCACGATAGGACTCTCTTTTATCTGTCATACATTGCTTCACAAACTTCTAAACTCCATTGTCTAATGTCTATTCCCGAATTTCCTGTTTCTATCTGATAGCCATTTTAGGCCTCGTGAGTAAAAAGCAGAAGAGCACTCAATTTTACCTGAATGTTGAGAAATATAATTGCTATCCCCTGAAGATGAGCAATCGAATTTTCTCATTCCTGCATGTGTTTTCTTCGCCAACCTTTGCAATGAACCATTCAATCTAAATGGAAGGACAACAGCTGCCATGTTGTCCATACTTCCCTTTTCAAAAGCAGCACTTACTATGCAATCAGCTAAGGAATATGAACATGAATAAGTGAGTTCCGATCGCACAGTGAAATCAGCATGTAAATTCCACAATATGTCACAAATATCCTGTGAGCTAAGCTTTTCAAAAACGCCATCAGAAGCAGCCACCAAATAGCTGTCATTGGCTGTCAAAGGTTGCCAATCGGTGACCTCAGGTACGGATATAACGCCATAACTGAAAACACATTAAGTTGTTGATAAGTCATTTCTCAGGTTAAAATAGAAGTCTTTTGAAATTTTCAAAGATTTTACTAGCACTGCAGGAAAACTAAGCAGATGAATTCATGCATGTCTTCTAGTTCAACAGTTAAAAACACAGACGACTCAAAGCATGCGTCCAAGTTCACCAATTAAGATGCACAAAAATTAATGCATGCGTCCAAGTCCACAAGTTAAATCTGCAAACAAAGCAACGGGGGGAATGACATACCAATATAGATACCCTCCAGCATAATGTGCACCTCACCTTTTAAAAGATACATCACCTATTGCTCTTGAAACAGCCAATTGACCATTAACCCTAGCTACGCCACTCCATTCAGAGACATGTCCTCCTGCAGTCTCCACTCGAGACCTCTCGTCATCCCTATCTGGGTGGTGGTCTCTAGTCAATTCCTTGGAAATCAGAAAAGGCCACTGGTCAGAAGCTGCCAACTTGAAGCTATTGAAGTTCTTCACAGGTTCGAAAACCCCAAAGCCTCTTGTTTGCCTATATAACCTCAATAAATTAGCTGCAACCAAAAGAGAATTAAAATAACTATCTCTTCGAATTGTCCATGTAAAGCAACTCATACTTTATATAAAATGTTATTTGATAAAGACATTACAAATATGATTCTACACCATGAAAATTGTTACTTGACATAGAGCCAAAAGGGGAGAACTTCTGACCTTTAGCCTCTTCTTGAGATTTATATTCTTCAGAACATAAAAATGCCTTTGAATCTCCGATATTTGCAACTAAAATTTGATTTTCTGCCATAAGTATAACTGTGGCGGTAGAGCCAGAATCAAAATTGTGTCTAAATGCATCCTTCAGAAGCAGACAAGTTAATATTAAGACAATGCGTAACAAAGATTTAAGTCTGATTGGCCTAACGAAAAAAATGCCACTTGAGAGGTTACCCTTGAAAATGCAGAATCAATATCATCAATTGCCCTTAGCAATGCCTCCCTCAATATTTCCAAGTGAAAAGATCGATCAATGATTGAAGACACAGTCAGCTTGAGCCTACATAGAAGAAATGACAATTTTCCCTGGATATTTACATCATGTAAATTTTTTTGGACAATAAGAGATGCTATTAGATAACTAAATACAGATGGATGACACCCTGTAATAGCAAATCAAATCAAAAAGTAGACTGTAGCCTAAAATATCATTCTTTTATGAGTAGACTGTAGCTTATTTATCATTTTACAGAATCACTTTAGTTTGCAGTTAAAGATACATATATATAATAAATATATTCTTCCCCTTGACATAGTAATATTGAGGATCTAAGCAAGGACGGGCATCTACTCTCACTGTTCCTGTATACAGGTGTAAACTATCAATGATGTGATAGCCTTCAAGAGCTAAGTTGCTCCGACATGGCAGTTTAGGTGCCGCACCCGTGGAACACGACACTAGTATGGGTGTGGGTATGGGATCCGTACCGGATTTCGTCAAACAATTTTGGGTACTTTGACCACGACGGACGAAAAAATTCGAGACGAGATACAATTTGATTCCCGAAATCAGAATCAAAACTAGGGTAAATTTGAAGAATAAAAAAGAAATCCACACTTGACAAGTAATACGTAGGTATTCCACAAAATTTCTCATAATTTAGAGATATTTTTATATGTATATATTTTCAAATATTTTTAGCCAGATCCCCCCACCCGTATTCGCACTAAGATCCGTATCCCCTAATCTTGAAATTTACATCTAGAAGGATCAGACCTCTAGATCCGCACCCGTGTCGGACACCCGCACCCGTGTCCAAGCAACTTAGTTCAAGAGACTCCATAAAAGGAATCAGGAACTTTTGCTCATCTTAGTGTAAGCCTTGGATATATTTTAAACAAACAAAAAAGACATGATTCCCTACCTTCTGTGCTTTTCCTTTCTGTGGGTTTTCTTTAGAGTAGTGGGAAAGAGAGGGGAGTCCTTAGCAATTCTTAAAAGTATGTTTGTTGTTTAGCATGTGTTAGCATAAAAAAAGGGAACTTAATGGCATGTTGCCAAACAAACAACATTTTCATTGTTTTTGTTATCAGAACTTGTAGGAGTTAGTTTAATTTTTAAAAGAAAAAACATTTACTATTTCAAGAGGATGACGAGAAGGAACAGTGTAGGAGACACCTCCCCAAGTTCAACTCATCCGGATTCCAGTTCAGAGTACTCTGTCCTCTTTCATTTGGCAAGAGTCCAATCATTTTCCTTGAAAGAACTGAAAATGTTGCATCAAGAAGAAAAAATGTGTGCAGTGTGAAATACTGCAGTAATAGCTTTGATGCCATTTCACTTGCTTCAGCACCATTATGACCATCAAATACTGCGACAACACCAACTGTAACCTCAGTAATACCTTTAACACCTGCACCATAAAGATAATTTAGAGACAACAGTGCAACACAAGGACAAGTAAGACTCTATGTGCACCCACCATGGTAAGTAAGATGGGGTCTTACAATAGGTTAGGGTCTGAGTCTGATACAGCTATATGGAGCTGTTACTGCTGGGTAGGGTCTAGAAGTTACAACCGATTTATTGAGTCTTTAAACTGTTAGTGCCTGGGTTAAGCTCAAAAACATACCATATATATGCTTAATCTAGAACTGTAATAGTTCTAAACATCTCTGATTTACTGAATTCATCAAATAGAAAGTCCACTTGTCTTTTTTGGTCCATGCCAAAATAATTTTTACTTTTTGTTCTAGAAGGATATGTTTTTTATCTTTTCAACTATAATTAACTTTACAAAAATTTGCATCGCATCCACATTTAGTTTCTTTGCATTATTTCTTTTAGCATGATCAACATTTAGTCTTCTCAATGAAACCTTGTTGTACTCCATTCTTCAATACTAGACAAACACCATGTTGCTCCACATATTCACATATCAAATGTTTTCATAAGACTTTATACCATGTGTGGAAACTTTACATTTTTAGGGGAAACAACAACAACAACAACCCAGTGTAATTCCACAAGTAAGGTCTGGGGAGGGTAGGATGCACACAGCCTTATCCCTACCCTGGAAGGGCAGAGAGATTGTTTCCGATAGACCCTCGGCTAAAGAAGATGAAAGAAGCACTGATAGCAAGTAATAGCAAGACAATATATTTACAAAACTAAATCCAAAATAGCAACAGAGAACATGAAAGAGGTACTGATAGCAAACTAAAGAAGTACTGATGGCAAGTAATAACAAAACTAGATATGCGATAATAGCAAACTAAGGATAAAAGGGGTACCACACTAACAATAATACTATCGAACTAATGAAGACAAAGGGAAACGCACGACTACCTACTAACCTTCTACCCTAATCCTCAACCTCCACACCCTCTTATCTAGGGTCATGTCCTCGGTTAGCTCAAGTTGCACCATGTCCCGCCTGATCACCTCTCTCAAGATTTCTTTGGCCTACCACTACCCTTCCTCTTTCCCAAGGCCAACCTCTCACACCTCCTGATTGGGGCATCTGTGCTTCTCCTTTTAACACTCCCGAACCATCTCAACCTCGCCTCTCGCATCTTTTCCTCCACAGGGGCCACTCCCACTTTGTCCCGAATAACTTCATTCCTGATTCTATCTAACCTAGTATGCCCAGACATCCATCTCAACATCCTCATTTCAGCTATTTTCATCTGCTGGAGCCTGGACATGGGAGTTCTTGACTGTCCAGCACTCTACCCCATACAACATAGTCGGTCTAACCACTACCTTGTAGAACTTACCCTTAAGACTCAACGGCACATTCTTATTGCACAAGACACCGGAAGCAAGCCTCCATTTCATCTACCCTGCCCCGATACGATGTGTGACATCCTCATCAATCTCCCCATCATTCTGAATTACAGACCCAGATACTTGAAACTCTCTCTCCTTGGAATGACTTGCGTATCAAGCCTTACATCCCCGTCCGCTTCCTGGGTAAAACAGCTGAACTTGCACTCCAAGTATTTTATCTTGGTCCTGCTCAACTTTTGAAACCCTTAGACTCTAGAGTACGTCTCCAAACCTCCAGTCTCTCGTTAACACCACCACGCATCTCATCAATCAAGACTATGTCATCTGCAAATAACATGCACCAAGACACCTCCCCTTGAATGTGTCGCGTCAATGCGTTCATTACTAAGGAAAACAAAAACGGGCTAACTATTGATCCCTGATGCAACCCCATCTCAACCGGGAAGTACTCAGAGTCTCCTTCTACTGTCCTAACCCGTGTCTTAGCTCCATCATACATATCCTGAATCACTCTAATATACGCTATAAGCACTTCTTTGTGAAGACGACTCCGGAATGGATTTTTGTCGGTTCCAATGGCTCAGTATGGTGATTTTGGTCGTAGAAGCGTGTCCGAAGGTTGATTTGGAGGTCCGTAGGTCATTTCGGTGTTAATTGGCGAAAGTTGGAAATTGGTGGAACTTTGGGAAGTTTGACCGGGAGTGGACTTTTTGATATCGGGGTCTAATATGACTTTTGTGCAAATTTTGGGGTCAATCGGACATGATTTGATAGGTTTCGGCATCGAATGTAGAAGTTAGAAGTTTATAAGTTCATTAAGCTTGAATTGAGGTGCGATCAGTGGTTTTAGCGTTGTTTGATGTGATTGAAGGCTCGACTAAGTTTGTATGATGTTTTAGGACTTGTTGGTATTATTGGTTGAGGTCCCGGGGGCCTCGGGTGTGATTCGGACCATGTTCGGCGCATTTGGAACATTTTTGGAGTTGCAAAAATCCTGGTTCCTCCAGTTCTGGTTTCCTCTTTTTTTTTTTTTTTGATTTGCACCGGGTGTCCGAGTCTCTAAGAGCCCGGACTAATCCCGGGGGTGCACAGGCCCTCGGCAAGGAGTTTCCCTCAAGTGCACCACGGTTAATTCAGGTTTTACCCAGTCCGATGGCCCTCAGAAATTGTTTGCACCCAGTGGGTTTCGAACTTGAGACCTTGAAAGGGAGCAAACCCCAAGGCTCAAGTCTATTGCCACCAGGCCAACCCCTGAGGGTTCCAGTTCTGGTTTCCTCTTATGTGATCGCGTAAGAGGGGACGCGATCGCAAAGATTTGAGTTATGGCAGTCATATTTTGTTCTATGCAATCGCAGGTATGCATACGCGATCGCGAAGCTTGCATGGGCCAGTGAATCGCGAACGCGTGGCCTTTGCCGCGTTCGCAGTGAAGAAGGAAGGATCTGGGCAGCGGAAGGATTTGCTCTAAGCGGTCGCGTGTGGTGTTACGTGATCGCGTAGCTTGGCATGGCAGTGGTTCGCGTTCGCGACCAGTCTTCCGCGTTCGCGTATAGTGTTTTTAAGCTGATGGAATTTTGTTCTACACGATCGCGTGGGAATTTCCGCGATCCAATAGTGTAAACACCTTGGCAGAACTTAAATATTCAAAATCGTGGGTTTTCTCTGATTTTCATTTTTGGGACCTTGCGAGCTCGGATTTAGGCGAGAATTTGAGGGATTTTCAGAGGAAACATTTGGGTAAGGATTCTTGACTCATTTTTTATTATATTCCACTAATCTATCATTAGTTTCTCCATTTAATTAAGTATTTGGGTTGAGAAATTTGGGGGAAAAGGTGTAAAGTTCTTAGATCGAATTTTGATGTTTTGATCGAGGTTTTGGTATCGGATTTGTCTAATTTTGATATGGGTGGACTCGCTTGAACGGGTGTTCGGATTTTGTGACTTTTACCCGATTCTGAGACGTGGGCCCGAGTTGACTTTTTGGGGCGATATTCTAATTTCTTGTTAAAGTCATGATTTCATTATGTAGATTAGTTTCTTATAGTTATATTTATAGTATGTACTTGCTTTTGGCTAGATTGGGTTGTTTGGAGTCGGAAAGTCGAGGAAAAGGCATTCTTATTGACTGATTGAGCTTGGTTTGAGGTAAGTGACTTGTCTAACCTTGTGTAGGGGAAATCCCCTTAGGATTTGGTACTGTTGTAACAATTTGTGATATGTGAGTGCCGTGTACGCGACGTGACGAGTGCGTATATGGGCTAAACATTGAAATTCCGGTCCTTGCTAAGTAGTTTCCTTTTAATGCCTTAATTGAGTTATTCTAGCACGTGTAGTCATCATGCTTAGCCTAAGTTCACATGTCTAAGTGTCTCATCTCTTAGTTGCAATTTGTGCAACGTGCTTAGTTGATTACCTGCTTCCTTGATTCCGTATTATTCTTTAATTGTAGGATTCCTTGCTTGTAATATCATTGTTTCATTTACTACGTGTTGACTTTCGTGATTCTTGTTGAGATGACTGTTTGGTTGTGGCACGAGGTTTCTTCCGTGCAGAGTGTTATTGGCACGAGGTTTCTTCCGTGCAGAGTGTTATTGACACGAGGTTTCTTTCGTGCAGAGTGTTATTGGCACGAGGTTTCTTCCGTGAGGAGTGTTATTGGCGCGAGGTTTCTTCTGTGCGGAGTGTTATTGGCACGAGGTTTCTTCCGTGCGGAGTGTTATTGGCACGAGGTTTCTTACGTGTAGAGTGTTATTCGCACGAGGTTTCTTACGTGTAGAGTGTTATTCGCACGAGGTTTCTTCCGTATAGTGTTATTGGCACGAGGTTTCTTCTGTGCGGAGTGTTATGTGGCACGAGGTTTTCTGCCGTGCGGAGTGTTATTGGCACGAGGTTTCTTCGTGCGGAGTGTTATGTGGCACGAGGTTTCTGCCGTGCGGAGTGTTATTGTGGCACGAGCTTTCTGCCGTGCGGTTACTGTTTTCCTCTATTTGCTGTATTGTTTGTTGTTGTTGTTGTTCCTTACTTGTAAGACGTTCGTTCCCTTACGTGTTGTAATTGTCTTCTTGTTTTCCCGTGTTGTTGCTTTTCCGTGCATTCTTATTGTTTCATTAACCTGCCATTTATTTTATCATTTTACCTTCTGCCTTAATTTCTTATATTTCAGTAGGGCACTGACCTGACCTCGTCACTACTCTATCAATGTTAGGCTTGGCACTTACTGGGTACCGTTGTGGTGTACTCATACTACGCTTCTGCACGTGTTTTTGTGGAGACCCAGGTACCTCTTATCAGCCTCGATAGTAGAGTGTTGTGCTGCTGCTTGGAGACTTCAAGGTATATCCGCCAGCGTCCGCAGACCTCGGAGTCCCCCTTTATCGTTATCAAGTCGTATAAAGATATTTAGTACTTCCTTGAGTTTGTGGCTTATAACTACCGGATTTTGGGAGATGTTCTTACTCTGAGTTGAAAATTTACTTATACATATCAAGCGGCAGTTTTCAGTTTTAAATATATATATATATATATATATATATATATATATATATATATTGACATTGATATTTTAGTCGTTATTTCAGTTCTTTCCGCATAATTGTTAGGCTTACCTAGTCTTAGAGACTAGGTGCCGTCACGACATCCTAGTTGTACTGGAAATGACTTTTGCACATAAGTGAGGGAAGTCATTTTCCCTCTTTTGATGGAAAATATTTTCCTACTGCTAACTTAAACACCAGCAAATAGAAAATGAGCTTCATCAACATGAAAATAAGTAAGGTTTTCAAGTATAGGTTCTTACTTCTTATGTCATTATCAAATTAAAAATTGGATTCATACAATAGAATTATAGAAGTCAAGGTACTTGCTAAATTATCCAAAGATAACAATAATAAAAATTAATGTAACAGTTTCAAAGTGTCCACCTGGATCCAAACACATACTTTTAGAACAGAAAAGAGTAACATTTCACATATTTCACATGATGAGGGTAAAAGTTGAAAAAGGAAATTTACCGGGGAAAGGGATGCGAATATCGAGAGCACAGAGAATTCGATCTTCTTGAGACTTGCGGCGACCTTGATGCAAGGCTGTTTGGCACCTCGCATTCGGCGATTTGGATTCGGAACCATGATCTGGAAGTTTCCAGCGAGGGCATTTTGGAGATTGAAATACGGCAGGTGCACCGCCTTCTTTGTACACCGTCAAACATGTCGACGATTCTCCGGAAGTACAAGTACTCACGCAAAGAACAAACCCTAACACGAAGGCGAGAAATTTGCATGAATTCATTCTGTTTTCTGGTTTCTGTTCATAGAGAAATTGAAATTGAAGAGAGGAGTTTCATGGCATTGAGAGAAATTGAGACAAGGTAGAGTAAGAGAACAAGATTCGCGCGGTGAATTTGAACAGACGATACTTTATAAGGGTGTGGGTCTTGGGGGTTATTTCACATAATCAAAATACGTTGGGTCTGTGCACGGAGTGCAACCGAAAAGTAATCCGTCCATCTAATGGAAACTATTTCCGGAAATAAAAGTTCGGACTTCGGAGTATGAAGTACCAAATCATTAGGTAGAACTTTATGTGAATTATTTACAAATTTAAAAAGTATTAGTATTATAAATCCTAAAATCTATAGTTAAAGAGAATTTATTAACTTCCTTAATGATACCACTTCTATGGTTGAAATAGCACGGACTATATGAAATTACGAGGTTTGTTTTTCTGGGCTTTCTGATAGTGAGGTTTGAGTTCGTTTTTATAAATCTACTATTTTACTTTTATTTTTTGTTTGCTTTTTCTGTTATTATTATTTAATTGCGTGGAGTCACTATATCATATTCTATTAAGTTTAACATAATGGTTTAAATAAAAGAATTATTAACATGTTTTATTCTATGTGCCTCTTAAGATAGAACCTGTTATCTCACTCGATACTTATTATTCTAAATGGTTATCGCACTTTCACTATAATTAGGTTCTCAAATTATACTCATCACTCTGTTAGATGTTTACCTTACTTAAAATTGTTATTATGTTTTTCCTTAACAAATTGTATATTTAATTTGTTAATTTAACTTATGTTTTGTTTTGTTTAAAAATGATACTTTTACTCAATTTTATTAATTTCTAAACTAAACCATCTTATACTCTGTTTTGTACAAATTGTATATTATTTTACTTTACTTGATTTCTAAAATAAACTCATTATTTCATTTAACACCTTACTTTATTCAAGATTGTTATTATATTTTATAGTGTTTAAATATATCTTTTGTTCATCTAAATTAATATTTATCACGATTGCAAGTTCATGGTAGCACGTGGGCTTTGTCGTACGAAGGTGATTGTTATTGTGGGCACGGGGTGCCATATGTATAAGATTTGGAAATTGTGGTCCATGACTTGTAGTTTATGAGGTATGGTGCCTCGGGGTAATTCTTGTTGTAAGTCCTGTGAGCACGTGATTTTTGCCCTATATGAATTACTCCCATAATTTCAAAACAAAAAATATTTTCTTTTTATTATTTTTCAATTTTGTGGTTTTTCGTGGCATTTTCTGTTAATTGTTTGCAGTTGTTTGCGCATTTTTAATTCCTATAAAATACAAATATGTGCATTGCATTTTAGGGTTTAATTTTGCATACTTTTTGGAATTGATTGGTAATTAGGAGTTTAAAAAATACAAAATCACAAAAATAGTTTAATTTGCATTTTAATTTCAATTTTGAGTAGTTTTTCCTTTTAATTTGTTGGTTAATTACTTTTGATAATTTTTATTTAGGTTTAGTTAGTGTTTTTCAGGTTAATTTGGTTTTTAGGATTTAACTTTGATTTTAGTTTAATTTTTAAAAAAAAGAGAAGAAAAGGAATTAAAATAGAAATAGGAGGAAATTGGAAAAGGGAAAAGAATTAGAATCAGATTCTGGGCCAGTCTCATATCAGTTAAGCTAGGCCCAGTCCGTTTTCCCTTGTAACCCGTTAAGCCAAGCCCAATCCGCCCCTAACCCGCCGGTTCGACCCGCCCCAATCGCCCAATTCATAACATAAAGCCCTAATCTCCCAACTCAGGCGCGTACTGTTCTTCTTCTCCGAAGAACACGCGAACCAAGCCCCAAATTCTGTCCAAATTCAGGCGAGTGAGTCCCAAATCCCTAACCCACGCGTTCTCCCCATCCCTCCTTTCACCGTTCTAACGGTTTCTGACGCGAGATTCCCTTCCCCTCTCACTCGCTCGATTTAGATGTATCTCACAATTGGAAAGTTCTGGAGGCGGATTCGCTGGATGAGTGTGAGGCATTGGATTGAGTTCATTCAATCTGAGCCCTACATTCATCAAGGGATTCGTTTTCAAATAAGGCCAGTTCCGATTTTGAGAGGGGGGGCTGGAGAACGAAAAATTTGAAAAAAAGTTGAAAGGCTTGGACTATTTTCTGGTTTTCTGATTCCATTTTCTTCTTTGAAGAGTACTTTCAAAGTTTAAGAGAAACATATATACGAATTTTTATTTTCTGAATCCGTTTTTGAGTTCCGAAGAGATGAAAAATGAATTGAAGTTCAAGCTTGGTTTCTCTACTGTTGTCCTGTTGAGTTACTGCTAAACCTTGCTAGGATTTGGAGTCGAAAGGTGTATTGTCGAGTCTGTAATTATTAAAGGAAGTTTGAAATCTCAGGTTCAATTTCCTTTCTCTTCTACATCTCTGTTTTAAAGTGTCTTGAGCTGTGAGATTTTGTTCAATGGTGTTTTGTTCTGTGATTGAATTTTTTGCTGGTGAATTTCTTCTCAATGGTATGATGTGCTTGAGTACGTTCAATCAGTAAGAGTCGCTATTGAGTAGTCGTCCTCTATGTTTTCTATGCTTTAACTGTTATTTTGGTGTCGAGTTATCATTCCGTCGCTTTCAGATGAACGATGTGTTCAGTTTTGTGATGGTTAAGCGAGCATGAAACTATGACGTTTATTCTCATGATGTATGTTTTCTAGACTTTAAGCGATTTGTTCTTGTGAAATTTTCCTCATTTACTAGAGGCATCAAACAGAATCTTTCTCTTTATTTGAACAGTTGGTTTTTCAAAGTGTTGTTGGTCAGAATTTTGGTCATGTTGTTAAAGAACGATCGCTTCATAAGATGAGCTTTTTCTTGTGCTTCTTCTGCGCATATGGTATGCTTCGACATTCAAGTTAATCTGCTTGTATCTTCTGTCTTGATCTCAATGTGCTCGACATGATTCACTGAAGAGTTCCCCCTTTCTCTGATTTCATGATCATTTTCGCATGTCTTGCTGGCTTGAATCTGCTGAAGTTCCCCTTTGATAATATTTGCTTTGTGAGGCTCACCATGTTGAAGGGATCAGTGGTTGTACATGTTTATTTTCAGCATGTAACTTCTGTCACTAAACTTCTTAAAAACAGAATTAAACATGAAATTTGTGTAGTAGTATGGCACTACTATTATGGCTGCCCAGTAGCCCTCAAAGTTGGTATATGTGGGGATGAGTTTTAAAAAAAAAAGAATTCTTGTTTGTGTGTGGAGTTTAAACTTGCAATAAGCCATGAGACTCCTTCTAATCACTGTTCATTTGATGGTCAACTAGTTCAGCAGCTTAGGGATATTAATTAAACTTCGATTTGTTTGGTTTTCACTTGTATGGTTGGGGGTAACTAATTGCACATCATCTGAGTGAGTTGTCAATAAGCGGCATGTTTCAGTTCTTGCCTTTGGCGGAGTTTGCTTACAACAGCAGCTACCAGTCGAGCATCCAGATGGCTCCTTATGAGGCCTTATATGGTAGGCGATGTCGGTCTCCGGTTGGATGGTTTGAGCCGGGAGAGGCTCGATTGATAGGTACGGATTTGGTTCAGGAGGCCTTGGACAAGGTCAAGATCATTCAGGAGAGGCTTCGTTCAGCTCAGTCTA